GGTTCTACAAATAATCCACAAATAGGATCTCAATTATGTGATTTGCTCGCATAGTCAATGATGATGCGGAAGAAAGCTTATCTTTAAAAATTAAACTGAAAAATGTTCTGTGTTGATAATCAGGCGTCCTGTTTAGTTTTTCCAAATGTACCAACATTGCTACACTACAAAAAATTTAAATCTCAATAAGTTTTTTTTTTCTTAAAATAAGTGCATTTTTTAAGGTAAGTGAGACACTTTGCCAACGGAACAAGACAATTTACATTTAAAATAAGAAAAAATTATTTTATTGTCTTATTTCAGGTGCATTTTATCTAATTATCTTATTATAAAAGTAAAAATACTCATTCCATTGGCAAATGATCTGATTTACCTGCTCAAATCAAGGATAAAAACACAAAATTTAAGAATTTTTTTACTTATTTCTAGATTGTTTTTGTAGTGCATCTGCTGAATATTTCATAAAAATGTTTAGGTCCGTATTCCTCTGTGCTTCTGGTTGTTTTCAGTTCATGCACTGCAAAAAAATCAAATTTTAAACAATTCATTTGTTCTGAGGAGGTAACTGAAACACTTTGCCAAAAAACAACTAAATTTACATAAAAAAATAAAATTATTATTTTTATTTCAAGTCCATATTATCTAATTCTCTAAATTTAAGAGTAAAAAAACTCAAACCATCTTGTTAACCTTCTCAAATGAAGGTTAAATACACTTATTTTAGGAGACTTTAACTTAAGTCTAGATGGTTTTTGCAGTGTGGACTCGTTTCATCGGACGCCTCGCTCCGACTCTCTGCAGCATCAGCAGGACTTCCTTAACAACCACATTAGAAGCAGATAAATGCCGACGCCTCCAAAGCCTCATCCTGATCCTTCCTGTAGTTTCTCCTCAGTCATTTGTTTATGTTTTTATCTCAGGCGTTCTTCTGATGACCTCTGACCTGATCTGATCTCTCCGCCATAGAAGACCCAAAAACGTAAAACACATAGCAGACCTGAGCTGAGAAGAAACTAGATCTTCCTTCCCATCATAGAATAAAGTCTGACAGACAGAAAACAGGATTTATATCCACCTTATAAACATCAATGACATCATAATCTAACAGTAAATATAATCTCACCTTCATGGACCGACGTCCATCAGTCTGACTCTAGAAGAACTAGATCTGACCCTGAAGTCATCCACATCAGCGCCTAAAACCCAAACGCTGGAATCTGACGTCCGATCGGCTCCATTTCAGCTCCCTTCATCTCTCAGGGTGGATTTAATCCTCACAGCTTATAAAAGCTTAATCCTGTCCGCCCATTTCAGCCATGATGATGTCATAAAGCACCATAAACGCCACGTTTCAGTTCCTGACTCTTCATTCCCCCTTAAAGCGGAAGTCCCGCCTCCGTGGTCCAGTCCGCCTCTTACCTGGAAGCGCAGGATGATGGTCCAGATGAGGCCCAGCGTCAGGCGGTGGTTTCCATCCACGATGTCGTGGGAGCCCATGTTCTCCAGGTGGACCCGCTGCTCCTTCAGGAACTGCAGAGCTTTGTCCACATTTTCCAGGCAGTGGATCCTCATGCGGCCCTTTGTGGGTTTGGGCTGGAGGAGAAAAACAGACCAAACACTGTTAGATAAAAGAGTTCAACCATGAGGAAACATCAGGAGGAACCAGCTGCTGCAGACGGCACAACTGAACCAACAGCATCTGGAGCACACTGCAAAAACTGGAAATCTAAATACGTCATTTTTGCTTAAATTAAGTGCATTTTTTCTTGCATTGAGGAGGAAAGTGAGACACTTTGCCAATGGAACAAGATGATTTACATTTAAAATAAACTATTTATTTTTCTTATTTCAAGTGTATATTATCTAATTATCTTATTTTCATGAGTAAAAATACTAATTCCATTGGTAGACCATCTGATTAACCTGCTCAAATTAAGATTAAATACACTCAATTTAAGACATCTTTTACTTATTTCTAGATGTTTTCCCTCTGATGGTCACATTTATGCTTTTAATCAATCTACCCAACATCTGGAGTCAAACTGAGGCTCCAACAGTCTCAAAATGGTTTCTATGGTAACAAAGCTCCGGCTGTCCCAGAGCTTCGACCATCATCAGTTCTGGTTCCAGCTCAGAGATGCTCTGCTGATCCGTGGCTGAGTCACCATCTTGGAAGGACGTCAGCCAGCAGCTCGCTGATTGATTGACACCAAACTAGGGCTGAATTGATTAATCCGATTAATCGATTATTGATTTAGTAATCGATTAATCATTAACTAAAATATAGGGACTCTAAAACAGCCTTTAGCTGACAGATCGACCCACTTAAAGCTGGAATTATACCCATATTGTAAGGAGACGGCGCTTCTCTTTAGATCTTAAAGGCACACTATGCAACATTTTTCAGTTAATTAATGTGTTCCATAACGTTTTGGATGATTAAATGAGTCATTTCAGGTCGAACAAAGGTTTTCTCGGCCGCCCTGGTGGTCTGTGGGGGAAATACCGTACTTGCAATTGCAGGAGCCCTCGGCCCGAGAAGCATCCCGCTGCAGCCTGCGGGAAGGCCTTCCCGCAGGCTGCAGCACCCACAGGCTCAGAAGTCTCGTGCATCGCGAGAGTCGGCCTGGCTTGACAGAGAAACCAGGAGAACAGCTGAGCATATTTACTTTCGCCCTCTGGGGGGAGCCTCAATGGAAAATAAACACCGGTTGCATAGTATTAGCCTCGTGAGACCATCCTGATCTTGCGAGCTTTCAAGGTTTCACTCGCTAATCAGTCTGGAGACTCTCCGTTAAAGAAAATTTGGAGCCGTTCACCAAACGAACGTCCAATCAGCGTTGGCTTTGAGGCGGGTTGAGGTGTGACGCAACGAGAAGCGCGCCAGTTCCCGCATAAAGCACCAGGCG